GCATGTCATTTGCAGAAAATTGTCATACAGTACCCCTAACGCTTTCTTAAAATCATTTTAGATATCCGTAATTTTAATACAATAGAAACACTACCACAACCTGGATAGCAAGCTGTATAGGATTGTTCTAAAAATCCAACGTCTCGATTATGGGCCTCGAAAGGGCTCGTAATTGCCTGGAAGTTTCCGAAAAAGATGCTTTCCACAATGATGTAAAGTAACCATACGTGCGGCAACCAAAACTTGCACAACTATTGTATTCTGAAGTCGCAGTTTTCTGATACCACTTTTAGATACCAAGTTGATTGCTCTTTCACCGATGGCCACCGGAGTTCTATGAAGCCAGGGATAAACCACGCAGCGGAATCGCCTCCTGGTGTCGCGGAATTCCCCATGCTGATTTATTGGTCCGTGTCTACGCATTCGGTAATAGGAAACAAAACCATACAGAAAAAATCTGGGTGGTGTTTGTGAAGTCAACGAACACTCACAGGCCAACAAGCATCAAGTTTTACAGCGGTCGCCATCTTCCACAGGAACATTCATACACGAATGCCTTATCGTAGAATCGGGATAGATTGAATGACAATACCATTCATAATTCCCTAGATTAGTTTAACGTTACCGCGAGCGACCTGAACGCTTACTCTGACACTTAAGTTTAACAGTGACTGTCCCGAGTTTCCAAAGGGGCCAGAATTTTGTATTGCGTATTAACGAATTACCTTAATTACTTCTTGTTTACTTTAAACAAACACTATTTCTTAGGGTTACAAACAACTTGTGGCAACGTTGAGGGATTTCTTCAATTATTTGAGTAAATAAAAATTGAATCATTCCAAACACGACTGACAGAGCGATAAAGTGAATTATGCCACAGGTAGCTACATCTTTGTACAGGAAGGATTGAAATTACATGATTAGCCAACAAGGCCACGTCAACCAAATGCATCATGTCTCATGTAAACGCATGTTGGAAGTGCTACTTGAAACAATAGGTAAAGTCTCACCTATAAATTAGCACTCATGAAAGCAGTTTATCAAGTGAAACTAATGAAACTTGTCCATCCTCACGTGAAAACGAGGTAGACTTAGAGTATAAACAAGCCCTTGAAATCAGCTCAGGTGAACGGAAAATGTACCGAGAAAGTAGTAGATTATTCATTGCCGCATGTTTTTCACGTAGAATGGCACATTTGTAGTGTTGAAAAGGTTTGTGAGCCCTAGGAAGCTAATTACTTAAAACAAAACCACGGACACTTCAGCGCCAGTCTTGTAGGCTTCCACATCAAGTAGGTGGTTAAGTTACGTTAAGTAGAAGAATGTGCTTGAGCTCACCTCTACCCATTTTAATGGCCTTGAGAAAACGAAAGTCAACATTTTCTGCATGTATTATCATTCCTTAAGCATATCGTGAATTAGCGCGCCTGTGAGCAACGCGACCAGTAACTACACGGATTAGGAAGTGCTTTCGCAATTTAATTGTTCTGATTTTGAACCATTTGTGGCCATGACCTCAAAATGGCGTTACTTGTTGGTGGGCATAAAAATATCCTGCAGGCCTTAATGAGGTTTCCTGGTTCTGCATTCATTTCAAGGCCTCACCGAAATATGTATGACGTGATAATACTTGATTGATGGCTTAACTCCCCAAATGACATACCTTATTCACAATAAGAATTAATCCATAAGTACAACCAGTACATATAAGACTACCGTTGGCAGCAGCCCCAGAGATTTTTAACAAAATTTGTCTTAAATTTTTCTGAATAATTGAATTGATCAGGACAGTAAAAACATCAAGGCAAAAGCACATTTTTCAAGGCAAATAAAGGAATGTAAGTGATTTTGCTATCAACACACTTCAATCGAATACATACAGCCTTATTCTGCCTAGCCTTATAAACCTATTCTCAATTTGTAGAATCTGTAATCCCACTCCTGTGAGCCACGCTTCTGTAATTGAAAGGACCTATATGGGAGATTCACTTTTTCATATCTACTTTTTTAAAATTAAGGAAAACTGCAGCCACAATTACGTCCACTTATTATCTTTTTGGAGACGTTAATTGTAAATTTAGCAGTTGTGCTTGTTTCGGTAACTGTTGGATGCACACTTGTCGAATTTTCACACACACACACGCACACGTGAATTGTCAAACACCACAAACCTGGATTTTTACAACACTAAGCACCCAAATGTGTGGAAGCCCAATTTATCCGAGTTTTAAATTGCGTACAAACTGTGGCAGCACAAGAGAGCACTAGAGTGAGTGTGTTTTCACTTGCCCGTTAGCGCCAAATTATCCGATAGAAAATGGCTTACGTTTCGATACTGTGGAGGTGACTGGTTAATATGACCTGATTAGAATGTCACCTTTGATGTCGAATTGGAAGTTCGTGTGTCCAGTGCTTACTGACTTCTTCAAAAGTGTGCAAACTTAACAGCCAACAAATACTTTTAATCTGATGTTTGGTTAGATTTAGGGCCATTGCGAGGGATGAAAGTTTGCTTGATAGAAGAAACGATACAAAGATACCCGTTACAATAAAGAATGAATGTCGAAGATAAGCCGAGAGCCACAAATCAGATCTTTTGAGTCAACACTTAAAACCAGAAAACTCTATACAATCAAAATAACCTCATGACCCTACTTCGAAACCAAATATGCCAATTTGCCATTGCCTGCAAAAAGGTAAAATCAACGCAACTGCAAATCGATACCTTTTTTGGTAATACACATTGAACCAGTGTTCAAATGTGGTTCGAAATCATTAAAATCCTGGCAGATACAAAGTAGTCAAGTGTCAAAACTAGTAGGAAAGTGCCTATTGACTAACTCTACATCCCACACCAGAACTCCATGAAGGAAAAACATGAATACGTAAATTCCCTACAAATATGCATTGTATAATTATTCAATATCAAGATGGTTAATTAACTTCTTAGTTAACAAAAAAGTATTCCCAATGTCACTCGCCACGGTTTAAGTGGAACAAAATCTCCACGCATAGAGCAGAGTCCTTAACTGAGATTGGGTGTCTGGGTGTCGTTGCTCTAGTTAGCCACAGTTCTATAGATAGGTCGAGTGGGATGGATTTTGAAATCAAAATTGTACCTAAGTGAGCGGACTGTGTATAACTAAATGTGCACAGATATCTTTAGCATGCAGATACAGAAGAGAATATTTAAAGAGACAATTCGTAATTTTATACCAATGCATTCGAACCTATTTTATCGTCTTAACTGCCAGAATCGAGAAACGAAGGCAGGACACTTTTCACAAACTAAACCGTCAATTGATCCTTTGGGAAAGTAATTACAGTCAGATTAAGGAGGCTACAAGCTATAAAATATAAAATTCATTTAAGAATTAACAAAAAGTTTAAATAATTACTCTTTCAAGATTGGCTGTGCTACCTTATTGAGGCTTAATTAGTCTATTAACTTTGAATAAACGCCGTCTCCTGCAACCTTAATGACGACTTGCCCTATTGTTTCGAGAATAGGAAGTCGATTGTAAATAAAATACAGTGATTGATAATCAATCTACTCATTTACACCAGCATTTTCAAGAACATCGGAATATCCTGCCTACAATTTGAACTTTAATTTCCGAAAATGTTGTGCGAAGACATAAACATTTTTGAATGGATGAGGCAGCCAAGCTGAAACATGAAACTTCAATTTCCAAACGGTCAAAGTAGTTTATGGCTCGATCGTTGGGTTTGTTTAAATAAAGCTCCGACATGGGTCAGCAATTTTTGTCAATATATATTTACGCGCAAAAACCACTCTGTTGGTAAACAAATTAATGTCACGATGGTGCTCTGCTCCACAAGCACATTATTGGTAGTGGTGCCGCGAAGTTAATCCAGATGCCCATGACAGGAGTTGTTGAGGAACACATATCCTTGTCCATTGAGAAGAATGAGATGTTACCCTTTAAGAAGCATGTTAGTTGAGAAACCCTAACAGTAGTTTTGGGTTTCTAGTGAATTGATTAGTTTCATTAAACAAATTTCACTCAGTGACAAAATAGGTAATCTAACTTATCGTATTCGAAACGACATACTGAAAGGTAAGTTCACAGCAGGCATGCACAATTCTTTTATTGTTTAAGTAAACTAAAATTACCTACAAAACTGCGTTAGAGCATAACTAAATTCAAGAGGCACTTTGTCCAACATCTGATCTTGGGTAGGTGGTTTAGAATAAACATCAATCAAAGATATGAAAGTTACTAGGACCACACGCAGTAATAAAACGACTTTAACTTACACTCCGTTTGCTAGCGTATCCATTTAGTTAAAAGGTAATTTTTATGACTCAAGAGTAAAGTGGGACAGCAACAATAAAGCGCCTACAAATCAGTACCTTTCATGGTCCTTCAGTAACATTAGCCAATTTAGTTAAAAGATCTACAGAGAAAGCCTTCATCAATGCGTCGGCAAATAAGACAGAATGGACCGTCAACTAGAAACGACGCCGCAACGTGGTGTGTAGTCCTAGGTTGAGTTGAAACTTGTAACAGGCACATTTGTCATAAATCACTGTGCATATTCAAAGAAATGACGCCACATTTTGTGAAATATCGATCTGCAAAAGCTTTACCATGATCATGAGAAAAAATTATAAGGTAATGGCTACCTACTCGAATCCTTATTCGAAGAAAAATCTGGTATTAAAAAATCTAAAAATCTACATTAAGATGGTTACAGCATATGACACATGTGGCGAATATTAAAAAGCTTTAATAATCTAGCCCAGATGTCAAAAGAATCTTTCCAATGAGAATACTGAGAAGGAGTCTTTGAGACTTTTGGGTAATTCAGTCCGCCATTTCAATCCCAGTAGGTAACAGAGTTCAACTAGTATTACGGGCCCATGACAATTGATCACTTGTGAGCTTAAATTATTTAAGAGGAGACTCGTAAGATAGAGAGAAAAATAGTTGTGAGATTAATGTCGAGTATGAAGCAAGCATTAGCAGCGCGACTCACAAAGTCGGGGGTGCAGAGCTCGGCCCGAGGAAATCTGGTGGCACAAACACCGGGGGGCTGCTCAGACAAGCAAACGTCTTTTTTTCCTCCTTCTCTCTTTGCAACTGAGGGCGCTCTTCCTTTGCTTTCTCTGAAGCTGCTTCAGCAGCAATGATGGCTGGGTCATCAGGGAAAATATCCTCGATGCCTTTGTTCACAACGGTATTGGTTAAGTCGAGTTGCACAACGCACATATTAAGCTCGGCATCATAGCGGATAACGCGACCGCGGCGAAAACATTCAGAAAATCGAACCAAAACAATCGACTTATCGGCGAGCCATAAGGCTGATGGTGCCACCGGTACTGATGATGCTGGTGGGATTCTAGTCGGAGGGGGCTCCTCTCGTGAGGGTTGACCGCCTTCCGATGGCGACTTGTGCGGGTGGTGCTGTCGTGATTCTTCCTGCTCCTCTGGTTCTGTTTGTCGCGGCTCCTCCCCTTTCTTACTGCCCTCTGCAGCCACGGCTTTTCCAAAAATCAAGTTTCGTAGGATGCACTGATCTAAGCCTGTTCACACCGAATAAGGTTATCGTTAAACACAAATTCCGCACTTCCCTGCCACCAGGAGTTTGGGCATAGCCAAAGGTATAATTCCCAAGGCGACCAACTGATTGGTAAGAAAGAAGACAAGGATGGCAATCGACTAGTAGGGGACAGCATAAGAATATGTTCAACGCCCGTTCTTGATATCAATTTCGCCAACGATGTATACCATTAAACATCTCCACATACGTGTAATTACTATAGTAGACGGAAATCCGCGCTCACACAGGCTCCCGCGCGCTATTATATGCTAAATGTGCCTGCACGAATGCCTATGAGTGGTCTAGGTCATGTATTGCATAAAACAAGTTTTTTGGCTAACGGGTGCGCCGATTGGTCAGCGGACGGGCCAATCGGAACGTCAAATTGATCACCAGGACGACGAAGGCCAATCAGGGAAAGCAGTGCGTTTTATTTTTTTCTGCTGAAAATTTACCACACAGCCGAGTTGGAAGTGAGCGCCTCTTTGCTTTCCGGTTATGCAATGTCGATACGCCTATGCCATTCCTACATTTATGAGTACTAAGTAACTCAAGGACGGGTTTTACGTTGATATAATCCCTTGACAATGTCTCTTTGCTTTCTAAATTCTGGGTTGCTATCGGATAAACGTATTTTTAAAGAAGGAATACTTTCCGAGTTGCATTAAGACATTTACCTACAAACTTAGATTTTTACTTGGCAAATAAATAGCTGCGTATGCATGAGTGTGTATGGAGTATGAAATCCGTATGCGCATATGCATTCGCTTAAGCAACTAGGCATTTATATGTGTCTTCGGATAATCGTACTAAAGGAGTATCTGCAAGACCTCGATTATCAAAATGCATGCTTAGTTGTCGCAGAAGCTATGTGTAAAATGGCACGTCATTGCTCGAGTTCATTCAGTAGTCAATCTTAGCAATTCGAAGCAATCTTTCCACAGATAGGCCACAGGAAAATTCAAAAGGAATGCATGAACGCAACAGTCAGGAACATAATTCACCAAAAAATTTGGCGGAAGTGCCGATTGTAAATATTAGGCGCTGCAAACAGCTTGTAATCCGTACATTACCAATGTCAATTTCTGAAAGATATCTGAATGTTTTGCAGAACCCGGCGTTGTTGGATTCTTGTTATTGGTTCTGTAAAAAGAATCACCCAAGTTAGTCTACATCCGCATAAAGTGGAGTCACGCTATACACCCTCCATTCGCAATTTGCATTAGTGTAGTTAAGTATGATGACGATCAGCATGTCCACGTGAGTGATATTCAAGATATTTCGCAAATTTTCCTACGAGGGAAAAGCTCAAGTGAATTCTACAAGTTATTGATTTGGATTTTGATTTGCAAAATAACAAATACCATCTGAACAGTTTATGTAAAGTAATGGTCAGGAAACGATGCTTGTGTAAAAATGTGAAAATCAACGGATGTTTTTCATTGTCGCTCCTTAGAAAATTGTGATCAATGTCGTTTGAGTGAGTATGAAATTAAAATAGGAAAAGATATTGGGTATAAATTCGTAAAGGCTTACTAAAGGAAAATTGAATGGACATAAGTTACGTACTAAAGACTTGTTGGGATTATTTAAGTCACCAATTTGCAAAAGCCTCGATGCGGGTCTCGAATCACTTCAAGGTCGATGTTCAACGTGGGAACAACGCGGTCAGGAAAGAGAAGAAGACCGAAAGCATCGCGGAAGCTCAATCGTTTATTACGGCAGCAAGAGGGAAAAACAATTTTGTGTGCCTGGTATCAGTACATAAAGAAACGACTGACATACAAACCACTGAACAAAGTCACTGCGTGAGGTGCAAGCGAAAATCAAATTATTGAAATCAAGAACCGGTTGAATTCACTTTAGCTTGTGTCTCGTAAGTAAATTTGAGAGCTTTCATAAATACCTCTCGTGTGAACATGATGGTCACCACTATACTTAACTACACTAATTGAACTATTTCCAGTTGGCTTCAATATTAGCTAGAGGCGTGTTATGTCCGTGTCTGGGGACAAGACCGGGAAAATTTTTAATACAACTGCTGGGTATTATTGAGTTTCTTGCAAGAAACAGGTCTCCATGCCTTGGTTGAAGTGATTGTTGGTCCCCAGCGCAATGAATTAAAGGCGAAAGCGTGGTTAACTTTATTGTCAGCATTGAAAGATAGCCATATAACATTAACAATGAGCTTTAATACAAACTATTGACCAATGGTCTAAAGGTCTGGAGAAGTTACATTGAGTTTATGTCACAAGGTGGTGTGGTAAATTCCAAAACAATTCAAGCTAAAAAAATTGTTGCTATTAGGCGTATTTTAAACAGAATTATAAAATGTTTGCCCATGACACGAATCCGGGACTACTGGAGACATTTAGGTACTTTGCAATGTTCCCCTGTGGAGTCTGTCCTAAATTTCTCCAAATCGTCAAACTTGCTATTTTAGAAATTTTACAAATGGATTTTTAAGTCCTTTTTCCATAACTGATGCTTTCGTGTTTAGACCGTTTCCTTTGAATGATTAGGAAACCTGTTTGACTAAATTACAACGCAGACAAACAATAACTCCGATAAATGAGGCAGTGGCTACACCAGACACACCCCCTAGCCGATTTATTTACGATCGCTAGTTGCGAAACATGACGGGGTTGACACCGGAACCACGTGTTGCTCACCTGCTTAGGAGACTAAAGTAACAATGCCAAAACATAAACATCACCAAGATGCAGCCAGATAGAAATACGCATTTAAGAGTCCTCGTGTGGTGGATCACATGTCGGCAGCTTGTTACCAGTGAGTTCTAAACCAGTCCGCTACAGCATTATGTAGGATTATGAAGTAATGGGTTTCGAAAGTCAGTATTATTAACGAAGAGTTATCGTATTTGGAAAAGTGTTGATATCTGCATATTCTAGGCACCTTCATCGCATGCATTTATTACAGGCAGCACAACCACGAAGAGGGCAAACGCATTTAATTAGCGTGGAATTCATCAAGGCCCACATTTCAGGTTTTTTGTTGGCGAACTGTGGTGACAAAAACGATTAATTTGAAGCTCCTAAAGGCGATAATCACAAGGTCTCTGCTATTTCGGCTAATCATTGTAGTCTGATCGAATTCAACTTGCCATTATCCTATTGTTATAATTCCTATTTTCTAGTCGTTGCATGTTATTCGATGTTTCCCCTTTTCTTTGGCCATATTAAGCAAATAAAAACTCAAATTTTGGTTAAATTAATACGAGTTTCGTAAATCTAAACACAACCAAATGTTTTAAAGATGGCACTAGCAGTGGGATTGCATATTTAAAACATTTTATTTGTACATTTCTAGTACATTTTTCAATCAAAAGAAAAATCAACCCTAATTAATCGTTAACCGTACTAACTCGTAGAGAACAAAAAGGTCAGACAAGAAAGATTCAGCGTATGGTTTAACGTCAAAAGTGTTCAAGACTCTAATTAGCACACTTTACCACAGGCTTTCACTTGTCATTTACATTGTACACAATATCAGTTTATTCATTCGCAGTAAGCTAAGTGTATTCTGATTGGTTAATTAATTCGTGGCCTACACTGAGTAGTGTGAATGCAGACTCTTACGGTCTTCTCTGATGGAATGGCTTGTAGCCGGCTTTGGGTATGATTAAAATAGTTGTACCACAAGCCTTTTATAATGGATAATTTATCATATACCTACATTTGAAAGATGAATATGGGTTGATCTTAAGTAAAAAAATAGGGATTTCAAAAAAACCAAAGTATGCGTCAACTACTTTTGGCATAGGTCATTATTACATTCCCACGTGTGTGTCATCAAAAATAGCAGTGAAGTGTAAGTGGAACTTTATAGCAGGTAGATACAAATATCTCATTGAGGTATCAGGTTTATTCGCGAAGCTATATTATGCGGATTTCTGTACAACGTAAATGTGGAGCATTCGTTAAGCTTTAGATTAAATATTGCCACACAGGAGCCAGTTTTTACCACGACGATGGAGCTACGCGTTGTTATTATTATCGGCCTAAGATTACAGTATACGTACATTCTCGAGAGGTAAATTTTAATCATGTCGACTACCACGTTCTCCTGTGCTCCACTGAAGGACTAATGTAGGTGCAAGTGATCCATGTGGCCGAATGCTAAGGGCTTTACTTTATTCCTTTTCTTAACTGCATTTTTTATCCGTACATAACATTGGTGAATGTACACAAAATTTTAGCCATAAAACATAATTGGAGGTTTTGTCTTACAGTTTCATTCATCGATTGATTATTTGGATGTTACCTCACTCCTTCTGAAACGATTATCATAATTACTATTCAATTTAGACTTTATTGGTAGACAAGTATTGAATGCGCTAATGCACTGTGGCCACACCATGTCCGCAATAGGCTAATGAAGATCAATGTTTTAGTTACAATTGGCTTGATTTTTTGCTTAGTATTTTTAGCCAATTTAGCAGGTACATATCATGACAAGTCTAGGTAACAAGCTAGGTTGTACTTACGACTTATGTAGAGAAGATATGAAAAAGCGCCTTGGCCTAGCCCTCTATCCCGGTCATTAAAGTTCTGATTTGGGGAAGGGGTTATAATGTGTTATAATCACTTATAATTTCCGACATTCCCAATAAACGAATAACCGGGATGGGATGAGTGCTATTTTAGTGTCGCATTTTACTATATCAGTAATTATACCAATAATAAATTGGTTTAGAATCGCCTCACTTGCTTTCAGTAACATTTTCGCTCAATGTGACTTCCGTATTTATGCTGCGATTCGGAAGTAGTTTACATTTCATCGGAGTTAAACAGACAGCAAACGCTGTCCTATTAATTTCTTGAGTCGGCTTTAGCGAGAGAAATTAGGACTGCAACTTCGTCCGAAATATCTGGTTTTAAGCTAATGATGACGAATATGTCAACAACATAAAAGCAATAATTCGTTGAGCACACAAACAGGCCAATTTAAATGGGAAGACCAAGGCTCGATAATTGAAATTTAAAACACCAGTCAAGGTGTTCTGTTGGCAGCTGTGATCTAGTTATCTGGT